AGAAAACAACTTTCAAATTTCAAAAATTAGATTTTTTAAATTTTTATTTATGAAATAATAATTTATTAAATCAATTTATTATTAAATATTTAATTCTAATATAATATAATTAACCCACCCCACCTTCACCACCTCTACCGCTCCGGCGACCGTTCCGGTCACCGCTCTACTCAGGCGAACTTTCCGACGACTTTTTCGATTCCGACTATTATTTACTTTATTAATTAAATACAACGAGATGACAATTATACAATTAATGATCGCATATACATAATTAATTGGCCACAGATTATTTTTGAGGTCATAATTCAAAAAAATTTTAGGTCACGATTTTTCTATTGGTCACAGATTATTTCGAGATCACAAATCAGGTTACATATTATTTTATTGGTCACTGATCAAAAAATTACAGGTCACGATTATTTATTAGTCACATATTTTCAAATTTATTGGTCACAAATTAATTTTTAGTCAAAATTTTAAGGTCACAGTTAATTTTTTTTTTTTTTTTTGAAACCACCACCAATTTCTGTGACCACCCCCGTCACTAATCAATTTTTAGTCACAATTTTAAGGTCACCACCACCGAATTCTGTGACAACCCTCGTGACCACAACATACTTCTGTGACTATTCCCGTGACAATCACCCTCGTAGTCGCCAAGACCNCACCCTCGTGACCACCACCAACTTCTGTGACCATTCCCGTGACTGCCACCAACTTCTGTGACCACCCCATTATCGACTTCTGTGACTACCCCCATGACCACCACTCATCACTGCCACATCGTCGTCACACCACCAACACCCAAATCACAATCGCCACCTTACCGTCGAACCACCAATACCTGTACCCAACTTCACAACCACCAGCACCCAACCGCCACCTTACCGTCACACCACCAACACCCAAATCACTGTTGCAGGCGTTAGTTCAGATCGCAGCTTCGTGGCACCATAAACCGCCACCACCACGCAAACACCACAACATAAACACCACCAAAAAATTGAATCGAAAAATACCATAGCCATCGGTGGAGAGGAAGATGGAGATAGCAGAGGCAGTGGTTGCACTGTTTGACCACCGCGAAACACTACAACGCAAACACCACCAAAAAATTGAATCGACGGCTATGGATTCGTTGACGTAAAGT